CTGTATGGGTGTCTACGCCACAGTCCCCCAGCTTCCTAATGAGAATGGGGTGAGAGACAGTATCAAAAGCCTTCCTGAAGTCTAGGAAAACTATATCCACTGCCACCCCTGCATCCAATGATTTAGTGACCTGGTTGTAAAAGGCCACCAGGTTGGTCTGACAGGACCTGCCACTGATGAACCCGTGCTGGTTGCCCCTGAGCATGCAGTTCCCTGCTGGCCCCTCCTGGATGTGTGCCAGAATAATTTTCTCGAATTTTGCCATGGCAATAAGCTACAATGAGCTACAATAAGTATAAGGATGGGGAATGCCTTAAAAGGCATGCTGACCTCATGGAGTTGACCTCATGGAGTTCTGCACACATGTTGGCTTGGATTATTTTTTGTAAGGTGAGAGCTGAGGTGTGCAGCTAACCGTCTACCACATTTTGCTGTGCCGCTCACCCAGCACAGACATGCTCTGTGGTAAAGAGCCAGGTAACTTCCAATTAGGCCTTTCCTGTAGTAATTAGTGTTGGGCTAGAACCTAACTTACTATACCCCTCAGAGGTGGGAGTGGGTCAGCACACCACAGCACACTAGTCAGATTAAAGATCAAGCAAAGCTTTATTAGCTACACATACACAGTTAAAAAACAACAATGCTAGGCGTGTTAAATCTCATCATGTTGCAGCAATCTTGGGTGGGTTTACCTGGAGTCCTCTATCAGCTGGCTGTGCTAGGGGCAAGGATCCTGGGTCGCTGTGTCTCTGTGCTGATTTAATGTTTCTTGGGCCCCAGTCCAGCAGAGAGGGAAAGACAGCTGCTGTTTCGTTGCTAGTGTGACATCACCGTTGCTAGGTAGTTACTATTCTACTTTATCTTTCTAGGCAGTTTTATCTTTCTAAGCAAAATTTACAGTTTCTTTTACACTTGGGGCCAACCTTAGACAGTACCAACCTGTTTTGCTCTTTATTTCCAAGGTTGGTTTCTTGTTTTGCCTTTACTGGGTCTTTTTGCTTTGACTTGTTGCTCTGCTAGACTCCAGGGCTAAGTGAACTGCATATCAGCTATCTGAGCCAATCTGGGGTTATTCCCATTCACCCAAGAGGATTCTGGGAGTCTTGCCACTCTTGTCAAGTAGCTACAACAAGCCTGTATTTCCCTCTTTACAATTAGTACTGTACCACAAGGGTGCACTCCAAGCACTAGTGCTCCAAGTCTTTCCTGAATAGACATCCCGTGTAGCCCAGTTGATTTCAGTGGGATGAAGACCAGACATGATGCTGCATGTGCTCATTGCTGCATCACACTTAGAAGGGAAGCACAGACTAAAGGGCTTCAGAGTGCTGATCTGGTAGGTGAGAGCTGTAATAATCTGAGCTGGTATCTACCAGTGATCCTCACTGAGGTAGCCATGACTTTGGCAGCCTTCTGAGTCAAGGTCATTGGTGACCAGAATCCACTCTCATGGTGGCCTGTGTCAAGTGAGTTCTCAGTTCTCTGCCTGCTGTCCAGGGAAAGAAGAGCTGCAGCACAAAGGCCACTCAGCAGTTGTGTGGTGCTCTCTAAAGAGAAGCCATGAGGCCAATGTCCTGCCTGCACTGAGGTGCTCTGTGAACTCCAGCCACCATTGCTGGTACTTGGGGATAGGGTATGGCCCTCTGATATTAATTGCAGTGTACTCCATCTGACCTGGGGGTTACCCTGACATGGAATCAACCTGTGGTGTAGACAAGACCTTGACTTTATCCCTCCCAAGATGCCTTGGAAGGGAAGCTTGCACTGTCCCTGTCTGCACTGTCCTTGGTGCTGGCATACACAATCTCAATACCCAAGAGTGTTCTGCCAAACTCAGAGCAGCTTCAGCCAAGCTCTGAGATCTTCAAAAGAAGGGTGCTCAGGGGCAAGCTGAGTAGGGAGTGCTTGGGCAGAATCTTGGAGTTAGGGCACTGTTTCCCAACATTTTCCAGCCTAAGGCACACTTACATTAATAAAAAAATTTCTGCAGCATGCCTTTTAAGGCATTCCCCATCCTTATACTTATTGTAGCTCATTGTAGCTTATTGCCATGGCAAAATTCCATGGCACACCTGTTGATTTCTGACAGCACATTTTTGTGCCGTGGCGCACAATGTTGGGTTGGGAAACACTGAGTTAGGGGACAATTGGTTAAGCCATAAGTGACCTCCTCTGTGTTGCACTGGCCTGAGGCAGAGAGTCTGCATCAGAGACCTACCCCAAGGGCATGAAGAAAGGCAGATACAGACATAACTGAGAAGTGCAGTGAGATTTCTCCAGCAAAGCACCCCACTAGATGTGTCAGCAAGAGGATAGGCAGCAGGCATAGGTGGTGTAACCCAGGCAACTTCCTCCAGCTGTCCCTTGTTTTGCCCTTCATGAGCAGGAGTTTCAAAATTGTTCCAGAGAGCCAAGGCTGAGCAAGAGCACTGCCTGGGTGTGATCCTCTGGAGCTGCAGACACCTTGCCATGCTCCAGCTCGGTCATGGGGAAAGGGGAAACAGCCACCTCCAGCTTTATTGCTGGATTCTGCCTCATTTGACATGAGCTATTTAGACATCCACTCTCACTGCCCGCCTGCTCCTGTAGCGAGCCACTGCCCCTTTAATGGGGCGGCTAACATGCCAGCACTGTTTTATTGCCTGTGTTGACCTTGAAGCGCCAAGGAAGAAGATGGGTGAAGTGTTCTTATACAGGCCACTGTTATAGGGAAGGAACCTATTATTATGGGACTGCCAGGCTCGGAAGCAGAGGAATACAAAGGCATCCCTGGCCCTAGCAAGAGTAGGCAGGGAATCCAGGTTCAGAGAGGAATGGGAGATCTCCACACTGGGGGGGTGAGGGGCAGTGCCAAGGGAAACTTTTAGTGGGCAAGAGGGAGGGATGGAGAGCCGATCCCAGACAGAGACAGGAGGGCTGTGCCTACATGCCTGTGCCAGTCCACTGGCACCAGCTCCCTGAGGCCTGTGGGTTCATTCATGGTGCTCCCAGGCCTCCCCCAAGTACCTCAATGAACTTCAAGCCCATTCTGCTTCTGGGCCAGTGCCTTAACTTACAGCTCTAACAGGAGCAAGTCTCATCTGGAAACCTTAGCACTGAATAAGCTTGGCCTGGCAACTACTGATTTAGCTTTGCACAAAGCTATTTGAGAGAAGGAAGGGGGTGGTGATACTGTGTGACCTGAGAAGAGTCCACCAAGATCTGGCAAGCCTTATCTAGTGTGGGACATCCCTAACGAACCTTGCTCATGGCTGGTCCCATTTCAGCCTGCTCTTAAAAGCCACCTCACGGGGGTCCTCAAAGATTTGTTTCAATTCACTAACTTCACTGCAGATTTTAGAAGGTGTGAGTCAGACATCATATGCTCCTCATGTTCCTCTCCACTCAGCGTCTGGGAAGCCAATAAGAGCAAAAAAGTCATGGGTAACTTTAACAGATCTTGATGTCAGCAGATCTTTACCATCAGCAGATGCTGATGGTGGCTTGCTTCATTGGTCAGCTGCCTCCCCTGTTAAACTGGGTGCCTCCTGTAGTTCAGATTTGTCCGACATTAGGATCTAGCCATTGTCGATGCCTAAGCTCAGCCAGGCCAGTTAGCCCAGCATAGGGAGGTGGACAGTTAACATTTCTCTGGGGCTGTCCCCCTCACTAAACTGTCTCTTTCTTTCACAGGTGCGTGTCTTCACCTTCTCTGTGGGTCAGCACAACTACGATGTGACCCCCCTGCAGTGGATGGCTTGTGCCAACAAAGGTAAGGAGGATGGGAAGAGCCAGTTTGCCATGTACAGTGGGCAGAGGAGTATTCAATCTGGCAGAAAGGTGCCTGCACAAGGGCAACACCATAGAGACAGGGCACTGGTCCCTTGGGAGTTGTCAAGAAGAGCTGGGGTACCAGCCTGGCTAAATAGAACTAGCGTCTCATTTCTAGACATAGTGAGGCAATTTCCTCAGAGTGTGTTCCAGCTAAGGTTAAAATCCTACCTGGGAAGACCCTGCTGCTCATCCTGCTGGGGTCCCAATAATACAAGTAGGCAGTGCTGTGGAGAAGTTCACTAGCCAGATAACTGCCTGGCACTTCCTATTTCACTCAGCTCTAAACTGTGAGGAGCAGCGCTGTGCTTGGCACTTCCCTTGGTTAACTATAGTGTCAAACTGAAGGGTCACCTCTCACGCCCTGCTTTTTCAGGCTTGGGGGAGCACAGAGCCTTGCTATGGTGACATCTGGGTGCTGTGAACAGTGCTCCACAACTCAACTCACTCCTACTGCAGTTCACAAGACAGTCTAAGTAGCACAGAGCTCCTCTGTGCTGAAGTGCTCAGGTCCCTGGCGAAAGCAGCAGACCTAGCCCAAGAGTGCCACCTGGCGTCTGCTTGGTGGGGCTCTGGGGAAAGAACAGGTAATTCTCAGACCAAAGGCCTCAGGAGCCTAGCACATTGCCCTTTGGATGCTCTTACTGGAGACTGAAACCCAGGGGATATAAATCCCCCAGGAGAACCAGTATAGCTCATGCTGCCTCCTGATATGCCCCTAGTCAGAGACTTCTCTCCTTTAACACTGTGGTACACAGACAAGAGGTTCCCACCATCTCTGCTGCAGCACAAACACCTCAGCATCCACAGAGCCAGATTTACTGTCCCCACTGGGCTCGTTGTGGGCATCTCAGCACAGAGGCCTGGGAGCATACTGAGATTCCCCCTCAGCCTTCAGGTCTATCTGAAGCACATGATAGAGGTGCTTTTTCAGTGGACAGAGTGTGCAGGTGCCAGGTGGAGCCTTTTGAATTAGAGGCATCCAAGCATCCAGTTCTGTTTAATTCCACACCCATAGGGCAACATCTGCAGAACCAGGACCAGGAGAACCTGAGGGGAGGCACAGCTTCATCTCCCTCAGCCCCCCCAACACACATGTCAGAGGGAGCTACATGTGCCATTAGTGGAGAATTAGGGATACGGGAGGCAAATTGTGGAGACGGTCTCCTCCGTAAGCAGAGCTGCCCAAGAGCAGGGAAAGGGTAGCTGTTTGAGTGTGGGGGAGGTTGCCGATGAGCAGAAAATCAGCTGGAAGCTGAGGAGCAGTGATCCTCTACCCTTGAATGGACTGGACCAGGGATAGGTTTAAGCAGCCGTTTCCCCACCCTCTTGTGTAGCTGGCATCTAGCGCTACAGATCCCCAAGGCATGTTGAGTGGTTGGAGCAAGGGGATTTCCCTGAAGTCTCCAGCTAGATGATCTGGGTGGTTACCTACCTTCCTCCTTCTCCCTCCAGTATATTTGGCTCTATACCTGCTTTCAGAGGCTCACAAGGCCAGGCCAGCTCAGCCTTCCTACCTTCAGCCCAAATTCTTCCCACTTTGTTGTGAGTGCTGCACCTGAAGAGCACTTACTGACTGTCTTCTGCTGGGACTTTCTGTGCGGAATTCTTCCCTGTGCACCCTGCACAGATCTCAGCTCTTTGCTGTACTTGAAACAACATGTATGCTTCACTTCAGGCTCCCTCCACAGCCTTCCAGCTACAATCCTCTCCCACCCCTGCTCGAACTTCTTCTCTGCAATATGCATGGCTGCCCCCTGCGCCCCTCACCCCCTCCTCCTCCATCCCTGTTAATCTCCCCTACTGTTATCTGGACCCAGTGCCTCAGTCTTATCCCAGATTGCCTTTGTGCTCCTTTGTTCACAAGTGTTGCCCTTTCCCTCAGCCTGGCTTTATCTGTTGCTAGATACCACCTGCCCATTAACCCCTGGGCTCACATTAATTTATCTTTCTCATTTTGTGCCCTTTCCCATCTCAGTAGCTCTTAGAATTCATGCACAGCTTGTTACTTCTAACTACGCTTGAAGCACAGTTACAAAGGCCCGGTGCACAAATGTTCAGCGTGGCTTAGCCCTTCCCTCCTTGTCCCTTTTCTGGGAAGGCAGCGCTGTTGAGTGGCTGGAGCGATGGATTTGGCATAAGGACTCTTGGGTTCTTTTCTAGTCCTGCTACAGACTCAGTGCTTTAGCCAAGGTGTGTTGAGAAGGTACCAGTGATTTGTGAGGTTCAGAGCTACCCCAGAAATCACAAAGCCTCACACTCTGAAACCAGGAACTTATGCTGCGGCCCCAGAATCACCTCTCAATTTTGAAATGCTTGACCTAATTTTGTCCTCAGTTTCCCCATATGTGAAACAGGACTCCACCTTTTGAGACACAGCTAATCAACATGGGCTTTCACCTTACTCCATGTATTATATGCCTGATACAGCTGGCAATTCATGTGACCTTCTAGAAACATGCTATTTAGGAATGGTCCTCTCACTTGAGCCTCTGTTTCCACTATGTCTAGCCCCATGGCCTTTATTCCCAAGCTTGCTAGCAGGGCAATAGGCTCTTTTGTTTTGCAAGGCCACAACTTCCTCTTCCTGCTTGTCCACACCCCACCTTTCACTTACAACATGCCACATCCACTTGGGAATGGCTTTGATGTCACATGCAGGGAGGAATCGGAAGCAGGAGCATGAAGATCAAAGAGAATCAATTTGGGGAAGTAATCGTGTGGTGATTCATATAGACAAACAGACAAACTTCTGACTTTCTAGAACTTTATTATACATTTTTTTTAAAAAGGTGAAAGATATACTGAGTGCCACAAGGGTCTGGGCATGAAAGTAATTATCAGTCAATCTTATGTCATAATCAGAAGACTGAAGCCACCTCCCCTCCACAAAGACCCTTCACATGGTCACTCTTTTTGGATTAACTAACCACTGCACAGAGTGCTCCTCAGTGGCCCAGCATAACCCAAATTCATCTATGTCAGTGGTTCTCAACCTTGTCAGGGTTACAGTACCCCACCTCCACTTTTTTGAATGTGGCAACACTGCCAGCTGAGAACCACTGTTAATTGCTGCCTCAGCTTACCTTAGTGCTTCTCAGCCAGGTTCTGCTGCCTCCACGAAATTGTCCTGTTTGCCTGCTGCACAGTCAGTCTAGGAAAGGCTGTGTAACACATGCACAATCGCCATGTATTAGAGCTCTCTGATCAGCCTAAAGCAGGCAAGAGCTACCTCAGGCTGTATAACTGTATCTGGTCTGGCACCCCTTACACTTCTCTCAGAAATAGAAGCCTATGAAACAGTTTTACTTATGTTTGTTTCCAGGAGGAGAAGAAGGGATGTTGGACCAAGAAGTACTACATACCACAAGGCAGCTTTGCTGCCTGCTTTAGGCTAATTAGAGAGCCTTAACATAGGGGGATCACACAGGGAAGTTTTACCTGGCCACTGCCTCCATGGCGCCCCTGAGGGGACCTCACAGCACCCGAGGGTGTCACAGCACCTTGGTGATCAATGTTCTGTTGAATGGTGAAGTGCCTAAACTCAAAGAAGAGATGCACCCAGACCAGGAACCAAAAGAGGTGAAGGGCATCATAAGAGCTGGTCCCCAGGAATTGGTTCCTGCTGCTCTTTAGGGTCATTACGTTGGCCTGGCCCACCAGGAAATTGACCAAGCAGATCACGCTCCTGTTGGCTGCCTGACAGGGGACAGAAAATGTATGCAGTTTTAGAAAAGGCCTAGCCCAGTGCGCTAGAGAGAGTGCCAAGAGAGAAGGAGGTACATGTGTATGCAGTGAAAGGAAACCAGTGAAAAAAAAATGAGAGAGAGAAGTAGGTTAGAAGGGCCTTTAAAAGATACTCTAGTAGTTCATCCCCCGAAGTGAGGTAGGATCAAGTATGCCTAAACCAGCTCTGACAGGTGTTGGTCTGACCTGCTAACCTCTGAGGAAGGAGGCTCCACCTCCCCTGGTAAGACCTTCTGATAGAGGCTGATTGGACCAGTCTTCCCCTTTGTTTCAGATTTCTGCCAGCAGTCAGATTTGAATGATGCTGACTGGATGTCGATCAGATTCAAGACCTACATCATGTACCCTTGAGCAACCCAGCTGGATTGAGCCTGAGTAATCAAGGCAGATGGGGGACATAACTAGACAGATGAGAAGTCATAGTAATAGCAGCCAGCAGGATAAGATGGGCATATGCTGTTGATAGACAGATGCCTTAGAGATAGTGACAGAACTTGAAGACCCTTGGTTAAAACATGCTAAGTAATGTTAGATGTGGCTGTCTGGTGTCACTCCCAATCGACAGTGCATTGCCTTCAAATGGAGATGCAGATGATAAAAAACATCCATTGGAGCAGCTGAAACTCAATTTCCCCAAATCAAATACCTATTAAGTGGCCTGTGTTCTGTCTGAGCCATAACAGACATGGCTCCATAAAGAATAGGCCTGTTCAGGTCTCTCGCTGAGAGGTGCGGGGAGGGGGAGGTGGGGAGCCATTAGCCAGGGAAGAACCATGCTGGGGATTTCATTTCAGAAAGAAAATAATTCTCCCTGCCCTGGGTAAACTTCCTGAGGTGAAACCAACCCTCTGGGGAGCCTGGTTAGTCTGATCCACAGAGATACTCTATGCTGTCTGCGGTCAGACCCTTCTGACATGTGATCCTAGATATCAGAAAAGTTCGCCAGCACTATGGATGGCACCACAGCCATGGCTGCCTGCCTCATCATGACACAGTTTGCCTTCCCCAGAGGTGGTGGCTCTAGACCTACACCATCAGTGACCCCCTGCTCATCAGGATCCTCCTACCTGTTGAGCCAGGATTTAGCTAGGGCCTTGCTCTCACTTTGTGGTATGGGAAGGGCTTGGGGATGGAGAACCCCTGCTCTTTAGCATGAAGTATTGGCTTCTTCTAGAGCCAAGGTCCTGGGATAGCTGGGCTGGCGGTTGGATCCACTGCGGTAGAGTTCCCAAACATGATGCTGTAGTCCTAGGGACCAACTTTTTGGCAGGTGTGCCACAAATTAGTCCCATATCCTCCCCAAGTGCCACCCTTCCCAAATGTCACTCTGATCCCTTCCCTGCTTTGCTTTCTGATTCCAGCCCTATGCCTGATCTGTTGCTCTGCTTTTTGCCATGTACTCCCTATACAATTTGCTGCTTTGCTTTTTGTCCTATCTACCACTGTGTTGCCCACCCCTCCCTGATTTGTCCTATGTCATACAGAGGCTGCTGATGTCACTTGGGACACCCATGCCACGAGTTGGCTAGCGCATATCAGTAATCCTTCCCCCACCCCTGGCTTCTGCAGACCCCATGGCTTAAAGCAGGGGTTTGTAACCTATGGCCTCCAGGCCAGAGTTGGCCTATGTAGCCATTTTATCTGGCCTACAGATTTGAGGCATTTCTACAGGGTTTCAGTGGCAGGGGCATTTGACAGCATTTCAGTGGTAGGGGACTTCCATGGGGGATTTCTGTAATGGCAAGGGGCTGCTAGTGAGTAAACCCACCATCACAGAAATCCCCCATGGAAGTCCCCTACCACTGAAAGAGTTTGTAGCAAGTCCATGGCCACAGGTGGACTGTGAAGCCCCTACCCCTAGTGGCCATGCAGCCCCTGCCAGACTCAGGCTCAGCTGCAGCCCTTCCCTTGGATCTCATCTGCCATGTCTTGATCTTAATAAAAATTATAAAAAGAGAGGCTGCTTGTGAGCTCTACATGAACCTGAGCCTGTGTTGATCTTCAGTGGGCTCCCCCAGAGTCCCCTTAAGCACCCCAGACCAGCAAGCCTTCTCAGCCTGCCTGTGCCCCTGCCAGGCACTGATCACTGTAGGAGCTCCTTGCGTGGCTCTTTAACCTCCCCTATGCCACACCTCAAGCCCCACAGGTGTTACTATCTGATGTTTGGCCCTTTCAGGCATCAGGCCCCCAACCTCCTCTGTCTGCTGGGCCCCTGCCCCCCTCTGTCTGGCCCCTGTGGCCTTACACTCTGCCCACTCTGGGCTTGACAGCTGCTCAGGCCTTGAACCTGCCCCTGGCAGGATTTAAGGCTGTTGCATGCCCCACAGGCACTAATGGGACCTTCTTAACTACCCCTTATAGTCTCAACCCAAACCATGGGTTGAAACAACAACATAAACATAAGCTCCTGAGCTATTACAAGACAGTAACAATGGAAGCAGCCCTCTGCCCCTTTAAGAGGGAAAACCTTTACTCCTAGTACAGCATGCCTTCTAGCCAGGGTACCTTATGAGCTCCCTGAGCCTCACTGCTCCTGTAGGCCGCAAAGCAGGCAATCAGGCACCCCTAAGTGGCTCTCCTGGACAGGAGCTCCTTCCTCTGCAGGTGCTAAGAAGAAAACGTCCTGAATGGCTCAGGCTCTGGGCTTATATAGCTCTAGCCTGAGCCCTTCTCCCATCCTGTGTTTCATTAGCTCCCTTCCCCACTTGCCAGCAGCCTCACAGGCTGCCAGCTCCCTTAAAGGAGCAGGCACACTCAGTGCACAGCTATAGAGGTTAGTGTGGTGGCACTGCAGGAGGGAGCAGTGACTGAAACAGTGGTGTCAGCAGCATGGGCCGTGTTGAAAATTGTCCATATTCAGAACTAAGTTCTGTCAAAGCAGCCCCTTCTGTTCCTAAATGTTTCTGACCCCTGGCTTAAAGGCTCAGCATCTGCACCTCTCACCCACTCTGGGTGTGACTCATAGGAATGCCTGGTACAGAGCAGAGGCCCCCACTGCTCTCCTTCCCCATTATCCATAAATGAGATTCCCCATCTGTTCTGCCATGCCTTATCTCCCCCTCTGGGGCACCATCCTGCATTGCCTGGGAGAACAGAAGCAAGTTCTCCAGCTGGAGCCATTCCCCAACCATCCCAGAAGGTAGAAGGTGCCCCTGTTAGCTGGCACCCAGCTTCCCACAACACGCACTGAAGCAGTGTTGTCAGTTCTTGTAGTTTTACCACTGGTTACAAGATAATTAGTGTTGTCTACAAAGCTCCGGCTTCTGGAGTCAAGTGAATGCCTGTGGGTCTGAGTTGTCATTTCAGAGGAACTTTCTTGCCCTTGTTGCAGAAGAAATCTTTGAAAACATGACCCAAGAGCTCCCTAAATGCTTTGAAGCCAGAAGGCAAAGAGAGAGAGAAAGAGCACCAAGCATAATGTATAGGAGTGTTTGTGCTCTGGGGAGGTTTGACTTCTGAGATTTGGGCGTTGGCCACTTGGCAAGTGCCCAGAACAGGCTGCATCTGCCTGTACTCAGGATGGCTCTGAGGGCCGATGACAGGTGCTTGCTTGTTGCCTGTTATCACCTCCTGCCAGGGCAAAAGGAGGAGGCTCTTTACAAGCTGCAAAGTGAGGTCCTCTGGCTTTGGCTGGCAGAACATCAGTGCTTATCAAAGTGATGGCAGCTTAGTGCACTGGGAGAGCAGATCTGTTCAAGCTGCTCCAGATGGATCTGATCATATACCTCATTCTGGACATGCTGCCTCTCTGCTGTGCCAGCTTTGGGAACATAACATGTACTGTTCTGCTGATGCTGCTTCACTCTAGAGTGCTGCCCCCTACTACTCCAGCTCTAGACACCCACACAGAATGCTGCCAGGGCTCCTCCACCCTGAACTGCTGAGCTCTCCACACACAGCTCTGCTGCTGCCCCTCAGTTCTGACCCATAACATCCCATGCTCGGGCTGGCCCCTGTGTGGTCTGGTGCCACATCTGTTTGCCTGCAGAACCTCCTCCCCCTGTTCCCACCCAAAGAGGCTGTAAATTCTGTGTCCCAGTTCACTTGCTGGCTCCTGTCTCCCAGTCCCAGTATGGAACTTGAGCATTCAGGATCCTAGGTCAGGGGTATCTGAAGCTGGTGCCAGTAGGGCTTTGGGATTATATCCTCTAAAACAGGGGTGGGCAAAATGCAGCCTTGGGGCCAGATGCAGCCCACCAGCCCATTCTATCTGGCCCGCGAGGCCCCTAACAAATTTAGAAAATTAATGTTAATCTGCCCTGGGTTGCCTGTCATGTGGCCCTTGATGGCTTGCCGAAACTCAGTAAGCAGCCCTCTGCCCAATATAATTGCCCGCCCCTGCTCTAAAACATGAGACGGGCTGTAGCCTGTGGAAGTAGCAGAGGACATGTCATGCAGCACCATCCATGTTCCTACAGCTCAATGTTTTGTTTCTTTTGAAGGTTACTACTTTGAAATTCCCTCGATCGGGGCCATCCGAATCAACACCCAGGTAAGAAGGCATGCTAGACTCTCCAGCACAGGCACACACAGAGTCTGGGAAGCCTGAAGACACCACACTGGTCACCTAGTCTGACCTCCTGCCCTAGTGCAGGCCAGAGAGTTTCAGCCTCATGGCTTTGCACTAACCCTAGTGATGTGTGTCTGAGCTAGAGGGTAGCTTTGAGAGACTTCCTCTCCTGATACAAAGACTCCCTTGAGACAGAGAATTACTTCTTCCCTCCAGCTTGGAAGCTGTTCCCAGAGGGCTTTATCCTCACTTGTAAACATTTTCACCTAATTCTATTTTGGTATTAGCTAGTTTCAGCTTCCAGCCTTAGGAGCTAGTAACAGCTTTGTCTTCGTAAGGGTCTCTCCCTCCAATGTGAGGGGCTATGATTTAAGTACTCACTGGACACATCTACACATGCACTTTACTGCGCATTAAACTAATTTAATGCATGGTAAAGCATCACGGTCTACATGTGCACTGTAATAAGTGCACAGTAGATTAATTTACTCTGGTGTAGGATAGTCCCATCAGGCATAGGTACTATTCTGTGCCACAGTAAATTACTGCAGCACATATAGAGAGTGACGTAAGGATTAGTATACTTCGGGTCAGATTGAGCTAGAGTGTATTCAGTCTTGTTAGTTGCATGTGTAGACACGCCCACTGACATCTGAGCTAAGCCTTCCCAAGACTTTCTCCCCCTGCATCTCCTTCCAGGCTTTAGTATTGGCTGTCTAGATGCTGGAAAGAACACTGGTGCATATTGGCTACATGTTTTAGTCTCTACACTGTCTAACACTGCTCGAAGCACCGTGCTTAAATTTTACTGGCATCTTCTCTTTCCTATAACCCCAGCGTGGCTGGCACCATTACAGTGTTGCTCTGGTGGTGGGCTGGAGGGGAGAAGAGCTCGTGTAGCCACAGCTTTCATGGCTGGTTCAACCTTTCACCTCCTTGCTCCCACCAAGGTTCAAGCATGTCCATGGCAACATTGCTCCAAATGGGTGTGGAGCAGCTGCACAAGTGTCAGAGTGGGCAGAGGTTCATAGGCTTCGCTCTTCACAGCTCAGCCAGGGCAGTGGCTCAAGGGGAGGTTGCTCACCAGGGGGCCCATCTCAAGGCCACATCTGGGTCAGAGCTGAGCAGACCTTCCTGACTGTCTTTTTCCTGTTCTCTCTCCCACCCCCTAGAGCACAGTGCACCTGGGCATGAGGTGCACAGCACTGGACCCTCACATCCCCTGGAGCACTAGAAAAGGGCTGGGCAAGTATCCCCAGGAGTGTACTACAGCATTGTCTGCCTGTGTAGGGCAATAGCAATCACACTAAAAGGGGCTGTTGCCAACGTGCTGGTTCCTGAGTTACCTTGCCCTGTGTGTCTCCTGGACCCATCCCTGCTCCTGAGTCCCATATATAGCAGAGACTGGCAAGGCCAGAATCTTACTTAGATAAAGATGGCCCCAAATTGGTTTGCAAGATGGTGTCTTAGCTCTAGGGAGAGCCTTTATCCAATAAGGCTGGCTTATGTGGGACATCTGTGTAGTCTAGGGCAGGGGTGTCCAACCTTTTTGAATGTGGGGCTGGATCATAAACTTTTTATTACCCAGTGGGCCGGCAAGCCATATTCAAAGACCTCACAAGAAGCAGTATCACATCACCCCCTGAAACGAAAGTACAATGTTTACTATGGTAGTTCTAGTACTCTAGTAGTTCAGTGTTTATTCTAGTAGTTCTAGTACTCTCGCAGCACCTCGGGCCTCAGAAAACAGCTTGGAGGGCTGCATGGCAACCCACGGTCTGTATGTTGGACAAGCCTGGTCTAGGGCATGTCTTGTCTTGGGCCATCCAATCCAAAGGCCATTTTTCAGAGATGGGAAATCTTGTTATAGCCTATGGAAGCAGTCTCCCTAACCCGTATCAAGCCAATGCGATGGTGCCTAAGGGTGCTGCTCCATCCTTGTGGCCTGTCAGGAGCTCATCACATAGAGTGAAATCCAGGTCCAACAGAGGTCAGTGACAGAAACTCCTGGGACAGCTGCTGAGCCTGGGTTTCACCACTCAAGTGTTGTGTCCCTGTAGCAGGAGGTTTGGTGCTCCTGCTACTTTAAGAGAAGGCAGACTGCATATGGGGCAGTCTGCAGGTGCTGCAAGAGGCAATCAGAGGTCATGTGACCTGATGGGGGTTGGGGAGGGAGCTGAGCTTATGCGATATAAACCCAGAGCCTGAACTGGGGCAGTAGTGTGATCCTGGCAGCTAAGATGTGAAGGATTCCTGAACAGCAGGGATGCAGCCAGACTTGTGGCAAACACTTAAGCTGGAGTAAGCAGGATGGTTATGAGAGCTAGGATGGTCAGAAACCCATAGCTTGCAAGGGATGAGAGGCAGAGTCGCTGACTTTTAGCTCAGGAGGGGTGAGTAGGACCAGGGAGTCTGGAGGTTTCAGCCGGCCTAGAAACATGGCCAGGGCCAAGGAGGGACCACAATGAGAGATTGTAGGGAACCCAGAGATCTCAACTGGCCTAGGAACAGTGTCAGGGCACAGGAGGAGCTAAAGGTCCAAGAGAGGCCACTGCCAGAGATTGACAGGGTCATGGACCTGTAGCCCAGAGAAGGGCAGAGTTGGGGCCAGGAGCCCAGTACCTCAGGAGGGCTAGAATTAGGGTCAGGGACCCAGGGTAGTCCTGGCAAACCCACACTCGGGAGTAGCCAAGATGAGCAAAGTGCCTGGGTATGGGCAGAGAGAGGTCAATAGTGAATGGTGATATCTGCAAGGCATGGGCATGGTGTAAGTGGTTGTGTAATTAGCCCTTCCAGTGGACAGTGGAGACACCTGAGCTCAGGCATATGAGATAAAGCTTGGGAAGCCCTGGAGCGGTCTCTCTTTAGCTACAAGACTAAATACGTCAAAACACGGCAGGCAGGTGAGAGGAAGGGGTGACCGTTCAAAGAGAGAGCAGGTTGACAAGGGAGCTCCAGGGGCCTAACAGCACCCTCCTCCCCCCCCCCCCCCCC